TATCCAAATTATCTAGGAGTTTGATTTTTTCCCCAAGTCCTAATTCAACATCTTGACCATTTATTACACCTTCTATGTGTTGCTATTCTGCCAGGCTTGTTTGCTTCATAAAACTCACTTTTACATGATTATCTACATCAGTATTGAGTCAATTAATCCAATTTTCTGGGTTCAGTCAACATCCAGAACCATAAACAGTTCCTATGGATTGAAAACACACATTAATCTTCTAAGATGTGGCTGGTTAATTAGTTGTGTTCTGAGAATACAGCCTATGCATTAATACTACACTTCTCCTGGTTAATACTTTATGACTCTGCCTGGGTAATGCAAGCAATCATTGTTCAAATATGCAACAAGTGGCTTCTGAGGTTACTCTGCAGGTGAAGTTTTCCTTCCTTGCAAGTGGGAAGACTGCTAGTAATGGCACACGAAACTATAATTAACACGTGCAGCTGCATTCCTGCATCTTGCTCATCTTTCTCTATGTCTGACAGAGGAGCATATCTCTCTCTCACCACCTCCTGCTGTTCTTGCCTAAGCAACTTCCATCTGATAGCATCCCACTAATTAAGACTCCTCCTTGACATTGGGGCAAGGAAGTCTCTGTGGCAATGTGGGATGCCAATTAGGGGTTAGGTTGGGGCAGTGTTAGGAAACAGGAGAAAGGTGGAGATCCAATTGGTTTCTAAGACTCTGCAGTGTTTCCACACATAGTTTTGAAATTAGGCTGTGTGTGACACATTGTGTATGAATGTAGTAGCAATAGCAGCAGCAACATGTTCATTGCTCCTGATCATTCTCTTGCCAGGAGGTTTTGAAAAAAAGTTTTTCCTGTTTCTAATGCAGGAATCTGAAAGATTTGGCTTTGCTGGACTGATGAATTATCAAAGACTTCAAGGAGGAACATAACACTAAGAAAGGATGGCAAGTCCTTTCGATCATCCCTTCCTAGTTAGCTGCACATTTGCAAAAGGGGCATTTCCTCTGACAGTTCTTCTAAATTCATGGTAGATGCAGAGCCTGTTTGTACAAACATCTGCCTTTGGAGAGACACAGTTGATAACACTTTGCAGGCAACACCTGCAGCTCATCTCAAGATCCAAGTTTCAACCACATATACACAAACACTCCCTAAGAGGAGATGCTAGTCTGATGTAAGGAAATCTGAAGGTTGTTGCAAATCACTACCCTCTCAACAGGAAGCCTTATGTTTCATGCATGCCAAGGGTGCTGGCAAGTTACTATCATTACCAAATTTGGTGCTTAGAGGTATTCTTCACTGCAGCCTTTCCAAACCTGGTGGCAATCAGATGTGATAAGTTCCCAAGTTGCAAATTCCCAATGATCTGGACAACAACAGGATGAGATGCTGCTTTGCTGTTATTTTATACAGGCTATAGTATATCCAATATTAGTTTTTCAGTCTCTATGATAGAAGCAGATCAAATCAAATCAGAAAGTCAACAATTTCTGTCTATCATTTCCAGCCACAGCCTTTTTACAGGTCAAGGATGTTGACATTAGATTACAAGAGTGCATCACTGACATTGGCAACAGAAGTCACTTTAACTTTATTTTAGTGGGTCTTTGAACATATCCAATCTCTCTTCTCTACCTCTTTCTAATAAAAATACCATAATACAATTACATATATGCATATATAATGATAATGTATATAATATAATAAAATAATATTAATGTAACAATACATACATTCTGTAGGAAGCTTTTCAATAGAAAGCTTTCCATAACTGCCATAGCTAAATCCCACCTCCCATCTTTCCATTGGTGTTAGTCACTATTTTTCAGATCCTGTATCTATCAAAACTTTAGGAGCATCAAAAGCTTCTTCCTCATGAATTTTTTAAAAAATCCCTTTAAAGCATTTTTTGCAATTTGAGAACTGTTTTAAAACGTTGCTATTATGGGATTTTTCATATGTGATTTTAAATCTTGAGAGAGAAGTTCAGGGGTCATTACTGATGAGACAACATATTTAAAGTGCTTTAGATTTAAACACTTTTATTTGAACTTTCACTGAAGTTTAGAGCATGACAGATTGGATTTTATAAATTTATTGGATATATTTTTCAGCATTTGAGTCAGGTTTAACCATCATGAAAATATATCACAACACACTTCTGGTTTTATTAATATGTTCACTATGTTTCATAAATATGAAAAAGTCCATCTGGACTGCATTGCTTCCAATATGACTGAACATTCCTCCCTTCAAAAAGAAAACTCGCAGATGGAAGTATTTCACCCCAGATTTTTTGCTAACATGATACTTTTCTGTAATCAGTGGTGGAATGTTGCTGGCTTTGGCATAAAGTTTTTTAAAAGGAAGGTGCAAAAAACAATTCACCAATGTCTCCATCTTCAGTTTTTCTTAGTACATCCCACATATAGAATTCCACTTCTAGTTAGAAATTACTTCTTTTATTCTGAAGAAGCAGTTTCATTCATGAAACAGGCTGCCCTGTAGCCCCTTTCCCACTACTGCAGGACAACATGGATGTGGGTGGAGGTTGAAGATGGAAGGCAGTTGCTTTTGGATTGTTCTGACCTAAGGAATTAATTAAGAAGAAACTACTTTGTAGTTAATTTTTCCTCCACACTGCTGAACTCAGCATTCCTTCTGCCCTACGGAAGTTACCTGGGACTTCCTTTCACCAGGATTAAATATACAGACCAGTTTTGTTTAATTTTTTTATGCCCAAACCTATAATGCTAGGATTGAGAAGGCACTTTATTGAGCAGAGCGTGCTAGACTTATGTAGAATGTTACCAATTACAGAGTAACAGCCAGATAACTATTTGCCTTCCACATTTATTTAAAAATAAATAAAATAATCCACCCCTCCACATTTATAATCAGAAATTTTAACTGCTAGATATTAATAGCTAATAGCTGTGATTTAAGAAACCTGAGGTTGAGGAGATTTAACTAATGAATATAGCTTGGCACTTTTTTAAAAAATACAATTTATTTGTTTCCATTTCAAAGCTGTTTTCCAAGATATATCTATCTCCCTACCTGCACTACAAAGCATGTAAAGACAGCATATTAGCATTGAACCAATTGCATACCAGAGATTGAACATCTGCCCAGGAGGATCATGAGTCAACAGGGCTAATCCTGGGAGTGGTGCCAGAGCAGGCTGGATTTGGAAAGCACTTATATAAGTGTTCTGGAGCAGGGTTAAACCCATTGCCCTCAATTCTCTTATGATCCAGCTGCTGCTTCCCATCCCATCCCCCTTATTTGAGCATTGCAAGGCAGTGCCTGTCTGGGCAATCATCTGAAATATACTTTCTCTCCTATATTTGCCCCAAGGAGAAAGAACCTATGCTGTGGGAGAATGCTATCAAGTTCAGAACCAAGCTCTTGACTATTAGACAGATCTTTCAGGCACTCAGTTTTGAAAATTTGAGAATTATTTTTAAAAGTATACCGCACAATGCTAGGTACATTCTTCCTCCTCCTGATGCATTATTCTTCATAAATTACCTCTCATTTCCATAGAAAATGTTCTCTATGCAAAATCTACATAAAAAATCCTTTTGGTTAAAAGTCAAACAGAACTGTGAACAGAAGAGTTGCTCTGGGCTGTCCTTAAATTACAAACCTGAAACCACTTCTTAGCTATTGGTGTGGTGCAGTTTCAAAAAGACAGGTGTAGCAGTTTCTTGAATCATGCCCTCAAGAAATGAGGTACTGTACTATCACTCCCATCTTTGTACATGGCATCAGCTCAGTGTTGAGAGATGCAAGCTGTATCCCCAAATGGTTTCAGGATGCTAAGTTGGAAAAGTCAGGGAATCACTAACACAAAGGGCTTCATTTGAACTGGGGCTTTCTTAGACTTTAGAACCTGTTTTAATAATGCCTCATTGCAGTCCTTCAGTGAGGAAAAAGGAATAGACATATCAAAAAAGAAAACCAAGTAGCTGTCACTCCACCATTGTATAAATCACAATTGGTTTTTCTTAGAGTTGGAATGAAGGGTCAAATTACTAATTTTTAAATGAATGTATCGGTAGCCTTCTAAATGTGTTTTAAACTTCAAGTTAGGGGCACACAAGGGCATCTCATTTTGGAAGTGCCTCTCAATAGGTCACTTCTAGTATTTTGAAATTCTTTGGAAAGAGAAGTCTTTTCCTGCACTGTTCCGTTCTCTCGTGTCCAGAAATGAAACCTTTAGAAGCAAATGGAAAAGGTATACATAATTTTGGACAGGATAACTAAGTATTTTAAAATATATATTCAGGAGTCCTTGTGAGCTGGATTGTAATGGGGATATTTGAAAAAGATGTTTACTGAAAGATTTCTCCCACTCAGTAACCATTTCCAAGTTAATGTCATCTTTGATATGTTAAACCTAAAAAAAGGTATAATTTCCACCCTACAAGGTTGTTACCCAACATATTTGGGAGGGTATCAACTTAAAAAAACCTGCTATAAACTAAGCAATAATTTCAGCTGAAACCAAATAACAATCCAGCAAGAATTTCATTGGGAAGAATTGGAGCTAGTGGTTAGACTGCCACAGCAGACTGCAAAAAAACGTGCAAGATATGCCCAATTTAAAATGAAGAAGCACAAATGTTAACTCTTTACCCATCAGCAAAACAACTTATTTTTGATAATGTAAAAAAACTTGATCTAAATTATGAATTAATATTATCTTCACTATAAACATGTTTTTGCACAATGAATCTGGAAAGTCATGTTTCTACCAATTGCATTAAGCTTCTTAGATGGTAAATTTCTTTTGGTTTCAAAACAGATCACGTAAAATTTTACTTGATCTGATTGATGGAAACTAGAACTACTGGGAGCACCACTGTGCCTAAGGACAATGCTCTCTTTGCCCTTCAGCCTAGATATGAGTTGTCTGACTAGAGTGATTATGTGCTTAGAAAAACATTATACATATTCAATTTTGTCTACCGAAGCAAAGAAAATATAAAGATAAATGGAAAAAGTTTTTAAAAAACTCACAGTATGAAGTTACTGAATTTATTAATTGTATGCAGTTGCATTTTATTCTTGTAACATTTTTTTTTGCTTTATTAAATTACTCTTTACTGTGTAAGAAGAACCTAGGCATTGAAAAATTCATTTGGAAGTTCTGCCTCAATTAAAACTCTTTGTCAAAGTATAAGCCAAATGCCACATCTAGTTTTCTGGTAGTTGTGCTTGGAAGTGGGAAGTATTATCAGAAAAGAAACACCTGCAATTTTAGAGCCATTCATGATCCTCTCATTTCATGAACTGCTCTATCCCTTTACCTTTCTCTCCAAACATAACATTCAAAGACAATTCATCTTCTCAGACAAAGCTATATCCAACATTTTATTTCTGAAATGTTCTATGCCAAAGCTTTAGTCTATCTGGGAATAAGGCATACTTCGCTCTTAAGGAGATGGAGGAGTTGCTGTTTCATTTAAAAAAACAAATAGACTCCCATAATTAGAACAAGAGAGGGATTCAAGAAAATATAAACAGTTGCAGCTGCTTTTCCTCATTCTTCTTGTTCCATGTAATCTGCAAATGCTGAGAAGAGTGACATCTATATAGTGCCTTGAGGTCCAGCAGGGCTTTGCTGAAGGTGAAAGGTTACTGGTCCTTCCAGAAAATAACATCTAATGCTTGCTTTTTCCCAAAAAAGTTAGTAGCCTCTCCACACTCCAGTTGTCTGACTAATATATTGAAGATGACAAAGATGCTTTACCTAAGTCCACAATCAAACTGTTTAATTTAAGTTATGCTTTCTGTAAAAAACAAGAGTCTTTGAAAAGAGCCCAAGAAGATATTTTTTAAAGGTAAAGTTAAGTATGAAAGGATTGCTGAACTCATAGAGCACAACCCTCTACTTTGAAAAAAGTTTCTCCTTCAGTCTGGACAGATGCTCATTCTCTTTAGGGTAACAGGAAAGTAGAAATGATAAATGTCTAGATATTCAACAACTCATTTGTCCAATAATTAAAAACCACCAAGGAAGAAACTGAAGACTTGGTTCATTAGTTGCCATGAATCATGCTTGGAATGATTACTAACTTTTGTCCAGGTGGAAACATTGTTTCTCAGCACTTCTTCTTACCATTACGAAGGAGTTTTTTGCGTTTGAGAATCATTTCATACAGTTTTTCCAGGGCTGGCTGGAGGCCTAGACCACTAATGGCACTGCAACCTTGGATGTGGCTCAATGTTGAAGTGTACAGTTCATGTAAGCCAAGGTGCTTCTCTACCTCAGCTACAGAGAGTGCATGAGACACATCCTGTTTATTGGCCAGCACAAGCACAGGGATTCCCTGGTTGTCTGAGGAATGGGCAATTTTATGCAATTCAACTCGAGCCTCTTCCAAACGTTCAACTTCTGCTGAGTCCACTACAAAAACAACCCCATCTGTTCGGCGCATGTAGGATTTCCAGAGAGGACGTAGCTTTTCCTGACCACCCACATCCCATACTTGGAAAGTAATGATGCGAGAGGTTCCCAGTGGCACCCGGATCTTCTCCATGTTGAAGCCCTTGGTAGGTGCACTCTTGATAAACTCCTGAAACTTCAGACGGTAAAGCAGAGATGTTTTGCCAGCTGCATCTAATCCAACTACGACCACATGCAGAGCCTGCAAGTGAGGTAGGAAAGGAGGTACAGGTGCCAACTGATTCCCCATAGTCATTGAATTGACATCAAATCTTGAAAAACACCAATAGATGATCACTGCTCACGGCAGCTAAGAAATTGTGACAACAAGAAGAGTTAGAGTTAATAATTTAAATCCATGAAAATATACAGCAATTCTATTGAGCTAGCTATGCATGGATATTATTTAAAGATGTAATTTTAAACTTCATCATCCTAGCATTTGCCACATATGTGGGGTCTATTATTTTGGATATTAAGAACAAAACTGATGTAGTTTTTCTTCAGGGCCTATATCATGTATGCGGATATTCTTCAGATATCCAAAATAAATCAAAATTAACTTGAACTCTAAAATTAACAGAACTTTACATTGACCTGACATATAATAAAGAAGCCACCTACAGAATAGCTATGGTGGCATTCCTTTGCAACAAAAAGGAGATGCAGAGATTCCACAAATTCTGTTGAAAATTCTTAGTCAAGACTATTGCTAAAGATTCTTCTTTACAATCCACATTATAAAATTTTATGATCTCCAAAACTTCTACCTTTTCTTTGAGTTGGCCTAAAAAATTATTATCCTAAAACAAAATTTAGAATGTCTATAGCAAACATAATTATTTTTTACTTTTTGTATTATAAGATTTTTCCCATTTATTTTATTATACACACACACACACACACACACACACACAAACTTACATATACACAAAAAATTTTCAGAAACAAAATGTGTTCTTGCACCTTAAATTCTACCCTGTTTCTCTGAAAATAAGACCTCCCCAGATAATAAGTCCAATCGGGCTTTTGCTGCATGCGCCAAAATAAGCCCTCCACCAAAAATAAGCCCTCCCCCAAAATGTTGCAACACAGCAGCAGCTATGAGGCGACCACATTCGCTGCTTCCTATACCTCAAAAATAATAAGATCTCTCCAAAAATTAGGCCAAGAGCTTATTTTGGGGGTCAAAAGAAAATAAGACCCCCTACTGAGCCAAGGTGGCGCAGTGGTTAAAATGCAGCACTGCAGGCTACTGCTAGATCAGCAGGTCAGCGGTTCAAATCCCACCGGCTCAGGGTTGACTCAGCCTTCCATCCTTCCGAGGTGGGTAAAATGAGGACCCAGATTGTTGGGGGCAATATGCTGACTCTCTGTAAACCGCTTAGAGAGGCCTGAAAGGCCTATGAAGCGGTATATAAGTCTACTGCTATTGCTATTACTTTTGGGGAAACACAGTAACAAATGCAAGTTAAATCCATTCTAATCAAATGGACTGGGACTTATGAAAAATGTTATTACTATATAAAATTTAATGAATTTAACTTAATCCAAACAGGCTTTAATGTATGTAGGGTACCAGAAAGTATTTTTGCTTTATTATTGTAAAGGACGAGCAAACAATCTCTCCCAATCCAGATAAATGCCAGAAGATAGATTATGATCAGCCAGAATTAAGTAATATCCCCTCCACAAATTTGGTTAACTCGTAACCCAAAAACAGGAATCAATTTTTGCCAAGAAGAATTTTCCAATCAGTTTTCAAAATACTATCAATTAGAAACATGCATAAATTTACTATAAAACAAGGCTGTATCATGCTTTCTAATATAATATAATTGCTCTTAAGAGAAAGCAGGTACCCTTATATATAAGAGGAAAGGATATTTATATATACTGAGAAGAATAATTTTCCTTCCTTCCTAAACCCAGCTGGACTTGGGCCATTACAATCAGAATTTAGATATGTATGTTATATGCCTCTCAGCTAAAATCTAGCCCCTTGGACTCCCCCATTAATTATACAAAGAAAGAGCAAGGTTTGCACTCAGAAGCAGGCTAGAAAGCTGACAGACTGTAGGCTTCAAACCTAGCCCTGTCAACTGCAGGCGGCCTTTTTAGAATTAAGACAGCAATTTAAAAACGTGGACCGGCAAATTTTCAGCCCACAAATGCACCAGAGAAGTTGCCTGCACAGAAAGTTACTCCCTGGAGCTTGTTATTTTTTGCTTTCTTCCTACGATTAATTAAAAAAAAAGAAGGTTTTTTTAAATTTTTGTTGTCTTAATTATAAACTACTTTAAAGAGACCTGGCTGCAAATCTCACGGAGCAGCCTCTATCAGGCAGGCGAGAGACGACCAAGCGATCCAAATCTTTTATCTCTGAGTTGCCAATTTCTTTTAGAGAATTTGAACAGTAGAAAAGATGCCCGCTTAGAGCCATCGCCCTGGATTTAGGTAACAACCACCGAGCGAGGGGAAGTGTGGTCTGTAATCACTCCTTGGAGAAAGGGAAACAACTCCTCAGTTTTTAATTTACAACACTATTCCGATTTCTAACATAAAATTAGTTTAGTACGGAAAATACACGCCGAGATCCAGACCAAGATCTGCCTAGCGAGAACTAGCGGGAACTTTACCTCCATCTGGGATCCCAGCTGACAACTGAACACCCGCAGTCCGCAAAAACCGAGCCGACACTGCAGAAACTCCTCACGCGACCAACCACCAGCTACTGAACGAGAAGCTGCGGTCGCGGGGAAAAGAAGGCGGGGCTTCTTTGGCACCAGTCAGCGTCTGTCTGGAGCGTGGATGGCTGCAAAGGGGCGGAGCCGATGCTGGCGTCGGGAGCAGGAGGGGGCCAACTAAAGGCTCGCGAGAGTCCCCGATCTTACTCCTCTCGGGCCAGGACTTGTTTGAAAGGGATGTGAGGGCTGAGCGCGTCCTTGCGCTATGATTTACTTTTAGTTCCCAAATCTGTACCTTAATCCAGGGTTATGTGAAAGAACAAAATAAAGCCACAGCGTGTCCCCGGGCAGGTGTGCAAAATTTATCCCCGCCCCATCAGTCGCATAGTTTATTACATAGGGCAGGGGGTCCACAAACTTGGCAACTTTAAGACTTGTGGACTTCAACTCCCAGAATTCTCCAGCCAGGAGACTTCTAGGAGTTGAAGTCTACGAGTCTTAAAGTTGTCAAGTTTGAAGACCTTTGACATAAGGGCATTCACTGCCCGTTTTACTTCAAAGTGAAAAGTCCTGGGGCACTCTGAGCTCCCCACTCGCTTGTGAAAGGCATGAAATCAGGGTGGAGACAACACTCCAGAATATAGGCAAGCGGCTTCTTCCCTGGGAAATCGCTTTCCCAAACCCGAAATTTGGGACCAGCTATTCAAAGGAATTCCGAGTTACAGGCCACCTGCCTGTGTTCGCAAACATTTAGCCTTAAACCACGGTTTTCAGCCTAATGGGGTTTGGCTCGGTTCGTATAAACGCTACACTAGAAAAGTCTACGGGGCTTTCTTTTTGTGTGAAGTTAGTTCATAAACGTAGGTCTACACCTTTCTACTTCGCGAATCATCCTTGGAGACACTCAAGACTTCCATAATAACTCAAACACCGCTATTGGGAAAGAGGCTGGAAAGCCTTCTTCAACCAATCAGGCTGAGAAGGAATCATGATCCAGTGTTCAAAAACATGTGCTTAACATAATAATATCTTATTCTCCTGAGCAACCGTAGTCACTACTTCTTTCCCCAGCAAAGTGAGACGAAAATTTAAAGATCCTTACTAGACTCATGCTTTGAACTGTTGCCAAACTGCGCGCAACTCTTGTTAACTCCACAGTAAAGACTTACAAAGCTCACTCCTCTCCACCTCCCTCCTCGTTTTAAAGTACAAGAAAAATCGGGCTCTTGGTTTTCGCTGCTCTCTGGTGGCCAATTGTGTTACGTGCAGGAAGGAGCGGCTGGCGTCTCTTGAGTTGCCCGGCATCAGAGCATTGTGAGTTTTCACCTGCCCGTGAAACCCTCTGTCACTGCGACCAAGGCCGTGTGGTTTCTTCTCGCCAAGCCTCAGAATAACACATTGCAGAATGGCTGCCTACCATTGGGAAGCGCGCCGTAAGCAGATAATAATGGAGCACCGGCTGCGGCTGATGCAGGTGGTCGGAGTGGGGAAAAGTCCTGCACAGATAAAGGGGCAGCTACCGCCGAAGTGGGGTTGGGGGGTTGGGGCGGGCGTCAGGAGGATTAGGTAGACGCTAGTAAAATGGAGGGGTCGAATAACTTCCTGGTCATTGGAGGTCTGTTTTTAAACATGGTGATCTTCAAACTCCCAACGTTTTTAGGATAAGTTCTGGAAGGTGCTAAGATAGGTGATGAATCATAATGCATTTCTTTATCTTTAAAGCGGAACAAACCTAAGCAGGAGGGCCTCCATGGAAATTGCCCTGTTTTAAGAGTGGGCACTTCTAATCCAGGATTTTACTGCATTTGATAATCCTCTGACTTCAACAGTTTCCCTATCTTTTCTTATCACCTATGTTGTCATAAAGTAGGTTTACTAAAAAAAGACAAAATATCTGCACAAACTGTTTTGACTAATGAGACTTGCTCACTAGAACCCCCCCCCCCCCCCAATCCCAGAATACTGTGCTGAGTTGATGTTTTCGATCTCTCTTTGGGTGGCATAAAACAAAACTAGCCTGATATTTGTAGCCCCTGCAGATTCCTTCTATCTCTATTGCTTTGTTTACTGTCACCATCATTACTAAGATAGTGAGAAAGCCTTTCTAGTTTTATATACCTTAACACTACCTTGGTGAGAATAAGAAATAAATACTTTAGTAGTTATATAAATGAGTAATGCAGTGGATGAAACTAAGACAGCATCTTGTGAATGTGGTAGAAAATACCGGGATATATTTGCATCTTGGTTAGGTGTAAGTAGGGAAAGACTTGGGTCAACCCGTCTTCTGGACTTACACTAGTATTTGTTCCTGGTTGCATTGGTGTTGAAAGGCCCAGCCATGTCAGGGTTTTAAGAGACTTATCTTGTGATTCTGGGATGTGACAAGCTGCCTCTCTTCAAAGCAAAGTACATGCGCTTTGCTCATAGTAGACCTGGCAATTTGTTTTCCTGGCATTTTTGGATGTGGGCTGGGAAAGCCCCTGAAGGAAGAAGGGCTTAAAGAAAAGTTGGGTGCCAGGCACTAAAGGGGAGAAAAACATAATCAGAAACCATATGGTAAAGAAATTAGACCAGAGAAAGGAAGAATAATGAAATACACAGGCTGCAGAAAACAGAATAATTTCAGAAAAAGTAGTATCTGTTTTTATAAAATGATCTATAAAAATAAAGGAGAAAATATAGATTGAATTAACCAGCAACAGAACAAGAGAGGTGGGGAACTGAGAACAGGAGGCTTTAAAGAGATGAAAAAGAGTGGAGGAGCCAAAAGGCAGGCTAGGAGATATGTACCATTTCAATGTCAAGCAACCTTACCAAAAATGGGCAGCTTAAAGAGTTACATTTGAATTTGTGCATTTGAGTAGCATTATTAACCTGCAGGATTGATTGTTTCTTCATAAATAGCTCTCATAAAAACTTTTCAAAATGTCATTTAGCAGGAAGCCAATTGATTGAGGTTGTTCACTATCTTATCTACCTCTCCAGTTTCTTCACAATGCTCTTCACTATTGCTCCATTTTATGTGAGATGTTTTATTTACAGCATCCCAGATTTTCATTTTTAAATTAAAGGAATCAGATAGGGCATGGAGCCTGGCAGACCTGGGCAAAGAGGCCAAAACATTTTAAGAGACCAACTACAAATAGGCAATCAAAATTGTCATTGTAATATTTTCAATTAGCAACTCCCTGTGGGCAATTCCTTCTTAAGCACCAGGAAGGCTGCTGTTAGATTTCATTTTCTGAATTTGAACAGAAATTTGCCAAGAAATGCAATTTCTCAATTCTCATGCATGTGGGTTTTTTGCGGGGGATGGACATAGGAGAGCAGACCATCAGAAGAAAGTCAGCAACAAGTTCCAAAGGAGAAAACCTCAAGTTCCACTGTCCTTTTGTGCCCTAGCATGACGTCTCAGAATTTGCCACAAAAAGGTAAATAATTTAAAATATGTCACAAAAGGGGATAGATTGTTTTGCAGATAAATACAAAAGAAAGTACTTTAAATAATAATTTTTTGAACTGCCATGGACTTGCAGATATGGTAGACAATAACACCCATCCTCCCCAGCAAAGATAATTGATGTTATGCTTGTTTGGGATATGAGTTCTGTCCCACTCCATCTGGAGAATGGGGAAGGCTGGAATAGATTTTCAGTATACAGTATGGATAGGCAATTTTTTGGGACTAGACGTAGTTTTAGAATGTTGATAACTTGTGATGGTGACATTCAAAATATAGTTTTCCAATTATGCATTGTATCGTCCCAATGTGACTGAATGAGTTGCATTATTATATTTATTTTTCAGCACAGTATGCTAGTAGTGATAATTTAAGTTAGATTGCCTATAATTGATTTAATCCACATCCCAAGAAAGTTTCAAAAACCTTCGCACCTATATTTTTAAGAAGTGACCTCAATAAAATAAATGAGCTGAATTGTACAATAGTAGTTAAAAGGCTGAGGTAATGCTAAAGAGCAAGTCAAATTGCTATAGAATCTGTCCACCAGTAAATACATTTTCAGTATAATGTAGGACTAGTGGAAAAACAAAATAATTTTGATTTTAGTAGATGCTAAAAGTCAGAAAGCTTGTTGGTTAACACCTATTATCAGTTTCATTTGTATGGGGCAATATAGAAAATTTGAAGTGTGTGAATTGCCATCTATGAGCTACTTCTCCAAGTTATAAGAGGCTATTCAAAATTGTTACTTTGATAGCTCTTTAAGATAATAACAAATGAATTTTTTACATAAAAGCTACATTAATTTTTATAGAGATTGTGAATTGTTTGTAAATCTTTTCAACCACTTTCACTGGAGGCTTCTGCATAAAATTTTCAAAGGCAGCTGGTTAGCCAGCAACCTTTTCCAAAACAAGGGACCATATTTCATGGTTTTATATATTATGAAGTAGTCACTCTATCAGATTTATACCAAAAAGAATTACTAGGTGTGTAGTGACACTTCTAAGCCTGAACATTGACACATTGCAGAAAAGGAAGTGTTTGATTAACCCAGATACAACAGTGAGATACCTGTGCATCTGGTTTAAGTAATGTAGTGCTTCTGGATGTTGTGGATTCCAACTCCTTCTGCTACAACCAGCAGTGCCAACAGCAAAAGATGGTAGAATTGTAATTTAAAACTTCTAAGGAGGTACCTTGCTTTACCTCTCTTCTTCAATTAAGCCTTGCAAAATAAACTCTCAAATTTTGTTCTTCAGATGATCTGGACTAGCATTCCCAGAAACCCCAGATAAGTACACAGAAGTCATATTTCAAAACAATTGGAATTACCATTTTAGTTCTACCTTACATATTTTATATTGGTAATACAAACCTTAGTATTTTAATTCAAAATTATGAGAGCAAGATTGACTTAATAAATTTATTTCCCATCAACAAAGTGAAAAGACAGGCTTGGTTCACAGAGCTCAAACCGTTAAATATAACTAATAGTCCTGCTATTTGGTTGAGTTTACATAATACAGTAATAATCCATACATCAGAGTACCATATTTTAA